TTTTTTTTTTTTTTTTTTTTTACTATGCAATTTGGTCTTCTTTTTGCATTTTAGACTTTCTTCACTTGCTTTTTAATTTCTCTCTACTGACTTTCAAAAAAAGGCACACAAGTAGGCAAGCTGCTTCAATCAGTAGATTCTGCTTTTCTCTTTCACAGAATAACTGCTGTTTTGTGCTTCCTTGACATTTCATCACTATTGTGTGTGTGTTAAGGTATGGATACCATACTCTGAGAGGCTTTGAGGTCTCTACACACTCCTCTTTTTGTCTTTTCCTTAGTACTGGAGTTTATATCTGGTCATCCATGTAGTTTTCTTTCAGGGACACACTAATATTTACTTTTTTTATTGTGGGTATAAGGCCACCCCTTTAGATATAGAGAAATGGTTTAATTTTTCACTCTTAAAATTTCCAGAATTTCTGGGTTCTCTCATTTCCCCTCAGTCCTGCTTGCAAACCAGTCAATATCTGCCAAGCTCATCTCTTTCTTGTAGTAACTTATCAAATGAAGATAATAGCAGCCAACTCATACTATGAATGTTCTGCCTCAAAAACTTCTCAGCCCAATACTATAAGTACACTGAGTACATTTTTTGCCTTCTAGGTTATTACATTCAAAGTTTTATGTTTTGTTACTATATAACATGGGCTGTCATTGTTCCAGCTTCTGATGACAGTGTTTTAGAGTTTCTCTCTACTTGCTACTCAGCCCAAACCCAATGACACATATTTTAAGTTTGTTGACCCAAGTATCCATTTCTGGTGCAGTTTCTATATTAATTAGCAACTGGCACACTTACGATGAATGGCAAGCTTCACACCCAAGCCCAAATCTCAGAGACTCAAACAAGTATTCGTTTTCTTGCNCACACTTACGATGAATAGCAAGCTTCACACCCAAGCCCAAATCTCAGAGACTCAAACAAGTATTTGTTTTCTTGCTAATAGTCCCATGGGTAGGCTGAAATAGCACTCCTTCAGTTCAGGGGGGGACTTGGTCTAGGCCTCTAATTAGGTTAAGTTTTGTTCTAAGAGTCTCTTCATTTTTCTCTTATTTATTTTTAATATATCTTTATTGATTTCAGAGAGAGGAAGGGAGAGGGGGAGAGAGAGAGATAGAAACATCAATGATGAGAGAGTCATCGATCGGCTGCCTCCTGCACACCCCCCACTGGGGATCGAGCCCGAAACCCGGGCATGTGCCCCAACCAGGAGTCAAACCGCAATCTCCTAGATCCTAGGTCAATGCTCAACTGCTGAACCATGCCCGGCCGGGCCTCTTCATTTTTCTTTTAAAAATGACTACTTATGAAATATTATTTTCTTATAGGGAATGGCAGAAGCACCAGGATGTAAGCAAGACACACAATATATTTAAAGTCTCTGCTTGCCTCACACCTGCCAACATGTAGTAAACCAATGCAAGTCACATGGCCAACCCTAACATCCATGGGGTAAGGATTCGATTATTTTCTACCCATAGTTACTTGTCACATGCCATGTATATTATAGCAGAGAAGGAGTCACATATTGAGAACAGTTCAACTTGCACACATACAAACAAGAAAATATCACCTAGTACACATGCTGTGAAGAAAATAAAGCAGAGTAGTGCTTAGAGAATGCCTGGAAAGTTATTCAGCATAGTTTCTTAGACATGACATTTAAACCGAGGCTGTGTGCCTTCTGGGTAGATGGAACAGACAGTGAAAGAACCCAGAAGCAGGGATAAGCTCAAGGTAATGGAGGAACTGACATAAAACCATGGGAGGGTGTTGGGAGATGAAATCAATGAAGTAGGCAGAGGCCAGGTTATTTAGACCTCTGTTATTATCACTGTTATATGTCATATACTAATATGTCACTGGACATTTCAGATGATTATTTGTCAAATGCTGAAAAACAATTTTTGGTGAGTTCTACTGGTTGTCCTGTTAACCTATAAGTAGGGTAGCCGAAGTCAACCAGTCTGGAATGTTTTTTACAAATTGAGTTGCACAATCAATTCTAAATAATTTACCTTTTCACTGGTTCTGAATGGTGTGTCGGCCTGCTAAGTTATTTCAATGGGAACACCAGAAAATACTAAGAATTCTTGACTAGAGAGGTACCTGCTGAAATACTGAAGAGGTGAAATGGTAGCCTCTGAAACTGCTTGGTTTCTTAATAATTCCAGGTATTTCTTTCCCCCTGGGCTCCTTAGAGCTAAATGGAAATATAAAGGCATTGGAGCCTCCTTTCCCCCCTTACTCTCACTCTTGGGAAAAACCTCTTATTCTTTTGATCCCTAGAGGGTTCCCTAGATCTAAAATAGCCCCAGCTCTGATTGTTGATGATATCTTTTCCTGGGGAAGTCTTTGCTAGTGCTACAAATGGAGAGGCAACTCTAGGTATAAACCCCAGGGGTACAGCCCACACCTTAGGGAAGTTCATGATTAATCGGGCTGTAGAGTAAGTTTAGATGGGGCGCATTCACTGTGCAATCACATGCAAAGTCAGTTAGAAGTATCTCCAAATTTCACTAAATTTGAAACACAAAGATGCTAAACACTGAGATGCCCTAAATCATGAGGTCTCGAGCACTTTCTAGAAACCACCATTGAACTTTGTCCTTTGTGAAAAACTTTGTTAAAAAAATTGACATTTAATTGGCCAGATTTTCATTTTAGACTTCAGGAAAAGAGAGCCATTCTCTTTACAAACACATGAAGAAAATAAATGAAAACCAGTGAGGTGGAGAAGCTACTTCTCTCTCTTGGCCCTCAGTAGCACCTCTCCAGGTGTGCCCTTGACTCCCATTAAGAATGACCCACTAAACAGGTGAAATACCCATCTGTAAATTTGCACTGCAGCATCATTTAGCAAAAAAAAAAAAAAAAAAGGG